TTGCTATCTACGCCTACGAAATTGCACCGTTTCAAACTTGGCATGCTTTATATTTTGCATTTTAGCCAGAAATGTTATATATGAATAATTTTATAAAATTTTGGAACGAGAATACTAAGAAATATTTTGAAAACTCCCTCCTAAATGAATTTTCATTTAGGCCACGCATCCTTATATGGCCTTCTATATGCCCTTCTATAATAGCGCCAGTGTCCGTCCGTGAGCAATTTTTTTTCCCACTCACCACAAAAGTAACTTGGGGAAGTTTCTTATTAGAGTCGACTTATATGACGCAAAAAACTTCCTCTCTGAGTTAGGTCCCTTCTATTCAAAGTTACCGTTATCACCTGGGCGCAGCTGGGGATTGGTTGGGGCGCGAGTCGCGCATCCGAAAATGGCCGCAACTGGGGCTGGCTGGGGGGGGGGCGAGTGGCGCAAATGTAAGGGCCATACTGATATAGGGTTTCTCGGCGCCGCCGACTAGACGCTCCACTAGTAGTAAGTTAAAGCTGTCTGTACGTTACCTGGGATGTACGTTACCTGGGATTTAGGGGAAGTGGATTCTTAGGGGTGCTTAATTTTAGACAGGTACCTAATTAGGGTAATTTTTAGCGGGAAATCTGAATTTGAGGTCAAAATTTAGCTAAATATAGACTAATTATAGATAAAATATAGCTCAAATGTACCTAAATTTCTACCTAAAATTCTATCCAGTGAGGAAGGGTGCCCCTGGGATATACGGGAAGTGCATTCTTAGGGGTGCTTAATTTTAGACAGGTACCTAATTAGGCTAATTTTTAGCGGGGAATCTGAATTTGAGGTCAAAATTTAGCTAAAATTTAGACAAACTTAGACAAACTGTAGACTAATATGTCGGAAAGTCGATTTCTGCGTGAGAATTTTGTCCAAAATTTTCGGAAGGGCCATTCTTACCAGTGCGTTTTCTGCGTGAGAATTTTGTCCAAAATTTTGGCAAGGGTCAGAGACACAAATCAGTCAGAGACACAAATCAGTCAGAGACACAAAACAGTCAGAGACATAAATTAGTCAGAGACACTAATCAGTCAAAGACAACAGATTAGTCAGAAGGGGCGGCCGAAGGCCGCGGCTGTCGACCTCACCCTAACCATATACGCGAGGCGCCGGAGGCGCGGCGAGCAAGTCCTGTGGTCGGGCGCGGAGCGCCCGACCTTCTCCCTTGGAATGTGAGGGAACTTAGAACATATACTCCCGAACAACAGCTCCTTGAGGGCCGAAGGCCCGAAATAGTCTCATGCTGCTCAACTCCCGAACAACCCTTACTCCCGAACAACAGCTGTTGAGAGCCGAAGGCCCGAAATAGTCTCATGCAGCTCTACTCCCGAACAACCCTTACTCTCGAACAACAGCTCCTTGAGGGCCGCAGGCCCGAAATAGTTTCATGCTGCTCTACTCCCGAACAACCCTTACTCCCGAACAACCCAATCTGACCGCTGATGCACGCTAACCGCTTCCTAGCGAAGTGAGGGCCGCGAAGCGGCCCCACTTCGCTAGTAGAAAATATAATACGCGCCAATTTGAAAACGGCGCGATATCGCAGACGGCAGTGGAAAGAGCAGTGCTCCTCAAAAAAAGTTCATATTTTTTTAAATTTTATTTATTTCAGCAGAGGAAAAAACTAACTAAGGAGCAGTGCGAGTAAGTTGTTTTTAAAACTCGATGATGAACATCATCATCCGCTACTTTAGGCTTCATTGGCGCTTTTTGTTATTAAATATAAGAAGGAATACATAAGAAATAGTTACTTTAAACATCATTTCGTCCTCAATACCGCACCTCCAAGAAACAACTAGCACCATGGATTTGAAATCATGGTTGGATTTTCGTTGAACAGCACGGTAAATGACAAATGTTTTCGCCAAAATTTAGCCTGTCTTCAATACTGTTAATACCTAGATAAAATTTCAGTAAAACAAATTAATGAAAAGCAAAAGTTGAATTTAGTTCTAAAAAATTTCAGAGAAGAGCGAGAACTCCTGAAATGTCTCAAAAATGATCCCAACTGCGAAAAAATTCAAACGAGTGCGCAGAAGAAATACATAAAGTCGCACGACTTCATAAAAGTTTGCAAAGGTAAGCAACCAACTAATAAATTTTGCTAATGTTCCTATATGAGCGGAATGGGTGAAAAAATAGGGACTGAATCCTGAACCCGAAAAATTTTCAACTCCAATAGGAAGGTCTATTATAGGGACAATATTAGAGGAAATACAGTAATTCATAAGAAACTTTTTATGTTGGATACCTATAAACGACAGTATAATGTGCGCTTAATTTCAGGATTGAGGGTCTCTGCTATCGACCTTGCCGTCTTGTCCTTGCTGATCTTCCTGAGCGTTCTGGTAGCCAATGTTTTGTGAATTACCCATCAAGCACCTTTCATATATAAATTTTCCTTTTTTGCCGCAAAGTGTTTAACATATCTTAAAGAATAAATTTCGTTGACGCCGCTCTATTTTCATTAAGAAATATGCTCAACACTAAATTTTCTAGAAGCCGAGCGCTGCGCAATAGCAAAGCGAGAAAAGACAAAAGAAATAGCGCACAAAAGTTCTGTCTAATTACAAAATATGCGGTAATTACGATACGACTACGACGAATGGGGGAATTTATGACACAGTTCTCCATGAGGCTGCCTCTAACAATTGTGACAAAAATTTTATGAAATTCCTTGTTTCAAAGTGGGCCAAATTGGATGCGTGTAACTTGGTTGACGAACTCCACTTCACAAGGCTGCTAGAATGGGCAACGCTATTGCAGTCAAAGCGTTGGCTGACATTGGCGCAAAAATCGAAGTCAGTTTATGGTGCATCTGGATGATACATTTAAAACCCGCCAGGATAAATGTGGCTCATAGCAAACCCTACTTATATATCCTGACAAGTACCTTGGCCAAATTTCCGAAGAGAACTCACTTGCAGTCTGATTCATAACCAAAATGTTATAATAAAATAAAGTGACTTTAGAAAAGAGATAAGACAAGTCATACCACTATTGAATATGCGCTAAAGAATGGGTTCACCAATATTGCAAATTTATTACCTGAAGCTATCAATAAAAATAAATCAGAGAAGCCAGGTGCTGATAAGGACACAACAGTTGCCGGAGTTAACGTATCGCCATATTAACGTATCGCAGGATAAAGCAGCGCCGGTTTAACCACCTCCAGGATCAAAGCCCTAAGTTATCTAAAAATACAAAGAGCGCGAGATGTTATGATTATTTTACACAAACGGGAATGATCTGAGATTTAATTTTTTCAATCTATTTTCTATCTTTGGTATAGTCAACAGAAACGCTAAGTTTCCAAATTATATACCCAAACTAGCTATTGACAAGAAGGGAACCCCTTCTTGTCGCGAACCCCTTCTTGTCCCTTTGCCGCAAGTTTTTCGGGATTTCCGGAAGCCATAAATCCCGGTAGTCGCCGATGTACCCGGCGAAAACGGTACCAATCGTCTTGTCTCGCCGAGTGGAAGCGATTCCGCTATCACACGCCCAAATCCGAGCGGCGAAGGAGGAGTTAGCCCCGCCCCAAGTCCAGGATTTTCCGGTTTCCGGAGGCCATATCTTTCGGAAAACGCAAATGTTCCTAGCGAGACCGGTACTAACCGTCTTGTCTGGCCAGAGAAAGCGATTCCGCTATCACACGCCCAAATCCGAGCGGCGATGCGAAAGTTGACCTTTTACGTGACACACATGATTCACGTAACACACGTTTCACGTGTGAACACGTGAAAAATTTTGGCGCCAATCGACTCAGCTTGGCCGATTTAGGGGGTACCCGCGAGCCTGAGATCCGGGAACGTCTAAAACCGGGAGATTGTGCAGTTTCAAAAGGGAGAAAGCGACATATATCCTGCGAAATAGGTTAGAGTAGAAAATGTATATCTTCAAGAATCTTCCATTTTAAACTGTATACAGTCATACCTCGATATACCGCAAACACGATAAGCCGCACTTTCGATCATCCGCACAAATCTGGCTGGAACGGATTTTTTCTATGCAAAATTCCCTCGATATACCGCATTTTGTGCGGTTAAACTCGATATACGGCACAGACTTTTGCGGAACCAAATTGAAATTTCCAAGTAAAATTTTTCGTTTATCCGCACAAAGAAAAATGGTACTGTTTTTGGCGCAAATTTGAATTTTTACTCAAAATTTTCCTGTTTTTGTTCAATTTTTCGAAAATTTTGCAAAAATTTTGGCAAATTTGGCAAAATTTTTGCAAAAATCGGCCAAAATTCAGTAAAAAATTCAAAATGTTTTGGGCGGGAATTCAAATTTTATTTTGAAAAATGACAAAAATATAACAAATTTCGTTTAACCGCACAACTTTGCAATGGAAGGATTTTATGGATTAGGATATACCACACTTCTGATAAACCGCACTTTCGATATACCGCACAAAATCGCCATTCCCGATGTGTGTTCGGTATATCGAGGTATGACTGTATAGTGATCCGTTCTGATTTCACATTTCCGCATTTTTATTGAATAAAATTTCGGAAAATTATTGCGACATTGTACTGATGCAGTGAAACAGATACATAATATCGGAAGCCGTACATTCAGGAATTTATAACGTGAGAGAATGGGCCGAATTTGAGTTCAATATTTAGTTTGACGGGTGGGGACGGAGATGAGTAAAAGCTAGTCATTTACCCGATTAAAATTATTTTTTGGAATAATCTAGAAGATCAATCGGGTAATTTAGGCGGAGGATTGTCTGAGACAGAATCATATTTTGCTTACCCTGTTACAAAACTTTTATATTAGCCGAAAAAGTTATTTTTTTATTCTTATTGGTTTTGTAAACGTTTTACTGAATTAGTGCACTGAAAACGTTAACTAAACACATAATAAAACCCAAATAGAGTACAAAGTAGCATGTTAACTAACTAAAAAACACCTACTTGTTACATTTATGTATCGTTTCTCTATCCTAACAAATATGTGCTCCGTTGGCCCAGTGGAAAGGCGCTTGACTTCGAATCAAGAGATCATCGGTTCGAACCCGGTACGGAGCTAATATTTTTTTTGTTTTGTCAAAAATGTCACAAATAACGTGAAAACCTAAATTATTATTTTTCTATAAAGTAAAGCATTTGAAAATACAATTTGCTTTTGGCTATAGCTCAATGTTCGTAACAAAAATAGCGTCCTCGCTGACAGGCTAATTTTGCCAGAAGCAAAAATATATATAGGTGTAGCTAGCACCTATGGCTTTAAATATTGTCTATTTGTGCTTTTTAGGGGTCACAATATTATATATTTATTGGATAAATATATTACATTTTTGCTGTTTTCACAAAATTAATTTGCTGAGGCTAAGTATGGGTCACTATTTAGCCCTGCAAGTCCAGCTTTGCAGGCCAAGTCTAGCTCTGCCTCTCTCCATTTCCATTGTATTTCGTTTCTCTCGAGATTCTAGGGCTAATTCTTGAAAGTCCTCAGTTTACGGGCCCAGAGACCAACGGAATTTGCAGTAAACATGCCAAAAGAGAGTGGTCTGAAAACAAATGCGAGCTTTGGTTCACACGAAAGAAAAGACTGGAGAGGCGAATGCAGAAAGCCAAAATTGCGCCAATTCAAACTTCATTTTGCGAACGCTTTCTTGTTTCCTCACTTCTCATTGTGAGGTCTCCGCTGTCTGCTTCCATTGTGAGTGGAGTGATCAACAAAATTTGTGCGGCTATTGTTTACGCGTTTTGTGATGAAAATTATTTTACGTTGGGAATTGGTTGGGAAAATGCGCTTGTTCAAAACTATTGTTAAGAAAATTATTTCGTAAGTCTGAAAATTTATTGAATAAAAATCGATAATTTGTTTAAAGTCACGTTTTTCACTTAATTTTTGCCGTGAGTTTTGTGCTTCCAATCTTCTGCTAATTTTTATTTCTTTTATTCGTTTTGCGCATGATTATCGATTTTCGTTCTTCATTCCCGAAATTATACAAAAATTTCTTTTCAGTGGCCAATTTTTACAATAAAATCCTGGAGAAAAACCTTAAAATCTGGCGCAGTTTATCTATAAAAATCAGTCAACTTTCTTAAAGATATATCTCATTAGCTTTTCTAATCATTTTTGTCGTGAGAAAATCGAAAAAGCAAATTTTTAAACATAAACTCTTCGATTTGTTAATAATTCTTGAGTGCGAACCATAGACATACCCGAGTTACCCCGCGTAAACATTTAATGAGAAATTTCTAAAATGCTTCTAGAAGCCATTCATGTAGAAGAATTATTTCCGCTCTATTTGCTTGTCAGGCCTAGCTTAGCTTTGTTTTCTTTCTAATTGAGGCTCAACAAATTTCGGAAAGCTCGGCAAAAATCTAGTAAAACCTTGGTCTATCATGTACTTTTTTCTTGCGAGTAAAAGCAAAAGTCACTATTTCACCCAAATCGGGCAGCCCTCGCCTGGCCAATAGGTGTCTTAAATAGAGGGAATGCTGTGTTCCTAGGCGGGGAAATTTGGCCCTGTCCTGAACAGTGTTGGAATATCAAAATATCCGGAGGCGTGTTGGAATCAAAATATCCGGAGGCGCCTCCGGCAGGTAAAAATTTAATGAAAACTTGACGAAAACAAGAAAAATAATGGAATTTTTTTCAAAATTTGACAAATTTTTTTCAAAAGTATTTGAAAAAAATTTTTTCAAAAATTTTTATTCTAATTTTGGGAAAATTTTTTTTCAGACATGCCTAAAATGGGCATTTTTGGTGATTTTTGGTCGGAGGCGACCCGGAGGCGATCAAAAATAGCCGGAGGCGCCTCCGGAGGCGGAGGCGACGTTCGAAAAATTGCCCGGAGGCGGAGGCGACTTTTGAAAAAGTCGCAACACTGGTCCTGAACATCAGTTTCTAGTGTTGGCTTAGAGAATTCTACGGACAGGGCCGAGTGAGAAAAAATTTGGCAAATGGGCAAGCATGGTAATCGGACCGGACCGGGCACCAGACCGGAGCGGGGGTGGCCGGTCCGACCAAAACTTAACAAGCACTCCTAAGAATGCATTCGGCGGCAAAAAATTTTGAAATTTTTGAAATATAAAAAATTTTCAATGTAATGTTTTCCATTTTCTATTGTACGCTTTTCTATCGTACGTTTTTTAATGATTTATCTATTTTCTATGATTTATCTTTATAGGACTAGGGTAGCTTTTACACCCTTTTTAGGGGGCAAATCATATATTCCCCGTTGGGCCTTTTTTATTCGGACACTAGAAAACTCCCAAATAAGGGTGTTCGGGAGCTTAAGCCTCAAGACTAAGTCGTGCTTACAGCTAACCCTAGGGGTGCGAAATGAAATTGCTTACTAGGGTAGGATGCAAAAACACATGCGACCATTTTTAGCCCCTATATTCCCGAAGTTTCTACTCCATAAACCCCCTCACTATCTAGTAAGATCTGAAGAAGTAAAATGAGTTTTTGTATTGTTCGATTGCTTACAATTTCCAACTGTTGTGAAGTCAAAATTATTTCCATTTATTAATGCCTAAAGTTTCAGACCGCACAATGCAATCGTTACAAGACGTGAAATTGGTGGATAGCGCGCCGACACCGGAACCAAAGCTCTACTTAAATTTGCTGGATCTGCCAAAGTTCAGAAGAAGCGGAGATAAATGGCTGAGGAAGAATCACTACGAAACCACCAAATACATGACATATCCTTGGTTCGCAGATATTAGGTAAGGTTAAAGCTAAAAACTTTGTCTATCTATAAGTGTAAGCGAAACAAATAAATTTCGCAGGTTTCATAGTCATCTTAGAAAGTTTCAAACAGTTAGCTATAAAATTTTTGTGTATTGTCCATCTCAATTAAACTTTTCGTTATTCTCAAAAATATTGACGAGGAAATACGAATTAGCCTAAGTAAGTATTATAGAAATTTTCTTTGATAACAGTTCCTTTACATCATAGAATAATCGATATATCCTTTTCTCGATTTCATAAATTTTTTAAATAATACGCCGGGTATTATAATAATTCAATACGACTATAACATGCTAGCCGATATTGTTCACGAAATTTCACTATTTCTTTAAATATTGAAACTATTTCAGGTATTGCTGGAGGACCCCGCTTGAACACAGTTATCCGTCCGTTGCTGACAGAGTAATCCAAAGTGACAGGTTTGGTTTTGCATGAATACACACTATTTAGTATATATTGAATAATATATATAATAATAATTTTCAGAGTGATTGCGAAGGCAAACGAAATCGCAAAACAGCGACAAATTTGTGTTTCCGCTATGTTAAAACAAGCAGGTGAACGATTGAATTTTATTTGCACCAGTCGTAATTAGCAAAATGAAGAGCTATGAAAGTTATGATGATTCTTAGTAGTTAAAAATGATTCCTTGTATGAGAAAGTGTTTTTAAGTATAATAAACGTCTGAAAAACCTACGAAAAGGAAAGGTGAGAATCCCAGGAGGATGTTTTGTAGTTTTATTGGACGGCTATCTTACTTATCCATGTTGCATACCTAACCTTTAGGCTTTGATCAAATTAGCTAACATGGTTCCACTTCACTGTCCTAATTTAAGCATACGTTTTAAATACCCAAAAATAGCACACAGGCATGCACAAAGAATTTGGAGTGTTTTTGAAGAACAAATAGCACACAAAGAATTTGGCGTGTTTTTGAAGAATTTGACCCACAAATAGTACACAAAGAATTTGGCCAACCCCTATTTATTCCCTTGTATAACTCTTTAAGATCTCAATATGTTTATTGGAAAGTTCGATTGGATTTTAAACAAAGCAAAATTTTCAGAAAAATTCCTATGGCAAATGAAAGCGTCATTTTCAAACATAATCTGTCGAATGGCTGGATACGTGCTCTTCAAGCTCTTTCGGAAAATCACACGTCGGATTCTTGTGTCGCCGGAGCAAATGGAACAGCTTAAAAATGATGAAAAAGTGCGTTTACCCCCCACAAATTATTCCACTTTGTAATGCTATTAATTTTCAGAGCGGAATTCCGTTTGTCTACGTCCCTCTTCATAAGAGCCACATGGACTACCTGTTGATCACCTGGAGTCTGTATCATTGGGGCATTCGACTACCTCATATCGCAAGTGGAGACAATCTCAACCTCAAAGGATTTGGGTTTGTTTTTGGATCTGGAAGAGAAAAAACAATTCAAATTTGAGTTAGTAGTAAAGTATTTTCAATAATTATTTTGTGGCTTATTTTCAGATGGTTACTTCGAGCATTTGGAGCGTTCTTTATCCGAAGAAGTGTCGATCATGAGCCGAACGAAGTCGCAGATGAAAACAATACCAGTCATGAGCTATACAGAGAAGTTCTGAGTGGGTTCTATAAGCATCCAAAATTTGAAAGATGAGTATTACAGTTTTGAATTTAGACACCTATATGACTACTATTTTGAAATATGGAATGAGTATCGAATTTTTTCTCGAAGGAACAAGGTAACATTTCTCTGACTTTCATGTGTAATAGTTTGATTTTAGGAGTCGTTTTGGCAAGATTTTGCTTCCCAAGAATGGGGTAAGCATTTTTATTGCTCTGAACAGAATTTCATTTGCTGTAATTTGTGTTGGGCATAAATTTTGAATATATTACCGTATTCCCTGTTATTACTACCCCGGGGTAATAATTTTTCAAACGAACTCCAGGGGGGTAATAATTAGAGGGGGGCAATAATATTTCAATGTCGCCGCGCCAGAGGCGCGGCGAAAATTTTGAGAATTTTTTAGGAAAAACTAAAAATTTTCAGTGTTCTGGGGTTGAACATTTCAAAAATTTTTCGTCAAAATTTAACCTTGTTAGCTAAACTCCACAAACTTTTTCGGATTTTTGGCAAAGTTTCTCAAATACATTTCAAAATTTAGACCATTTTGAATTGGCGGCCGAAATTATTTGGGCAAGATTTGAATTTTTCTAATTTATTATCAGTATTTATGAATTTTCGTGAGATTTTTATGAAAGCTTTCCATTTTCTGAATGATTTTAAAATAAATCTCTAAATTTTCAAGCGCATTTATTGCTCTGAATCAATGTTGAC